ATAAATAAATAAATAAATAAATAAATAAATAAATAAATAAATAAATAAATAAATAAATAAATAAATAAATAAATAAATGACTCTGCCAAGGTTTGGGGGATGGGGGATGATTTAAAACTTAGTAAGGGTTACTTGTGTCTATACACATCTTGGGGGATTTCCGTCACTTCCTCATTGAAATCAAATCTTGGACTAGACAGTTTATTGGTATTCAGCAATGCTCTTGTACTGTACTTCCATGTAGCTCTAGAGTGACAATCTCTTTTGCTTTTTAAAAAAAAATTCTGCAGAAAAAAAAATCACTTCTCAACCCCGCCCCTGTACCTGCAAGAAGCTGTACAACACAACTGAGCCGGTCCTCCTGGTACTGGATGATTAGCTCCTGCATCTGGGCCTCCAAAAACTCCAGTGTGTCCGTGTAACCTTGGCTAATGCTGAATTTCTTCAGATCAATTCCATCTCCAGCCAGCAGGAATTCTTGAAGCTTCTTAATCTTTAAGCCAAACTTGTATTTGGCCAGGAGGTTGGTGACTTTTTCCACTACGTCAGACAAAACTATAGAGTAATGAAAATAATAAGTGAAGGTTTGCTTCAAAACTGGAATCCCCCACCAATGTTGCCTTGAACATCTGAAAGAACACAGTTGCCTATCCATGACATGAGCTTGTTTTAAATCCCTTACATCATGACTCAATTTAGATCCCATTTTAGTCTATTAGAGCCTCACCTGAGGCTGACAAATATGTTTCTAAAACCCATTGCTTTTTTATCCTTTTTATTGGATCGGTTCTTAGTAACAAGCCATAGGACAAGACTTATCAAACAGAATGAAAATCGACAGATATAAGTGCAAAGAACTGCATCATGGAAAAAGAAACGAAATGCACAGATACAAGATGAGGGGGCGTACCTGGCTCAGTAATGCTACAAATGAGAAGGATCTTGGAATTGTCATAGATCACAGGCCAACAGTGGGATGTAGCACTATTTAAAAAGATGTCATGCAGAGGAGGGGCAGGATCTGTTCTCAATTATTCCAGAGCACAAGGCTCGCAACAATGGGCTCAAATTACAGGAAGTCAGATTTCGATTGAATGTTAGGAAAAGCATCCTGTTAGAGCAGTAGGACAGTGGAACCAATGACTTCAAGAGGTGGTGAGTGCTCCAACACTGGAGACATTCAAGAGAAACTTAAGACAACCACCTGACATATATCCTTTCATTTGTATTCCAGCACTGAGCAGCAGCTTGGACTTGACGGCCTTATTGGCCCCTTCCAACTTCACTATTCAATGGTTCTATGAAAACCCAAGACCTGGATCACTGTCCAACACTGGGAACAGAAGCTACTTCAAACAATTGCCACACTAGCGCTCCACGGGACAACATGAATATCACTCAACAAAGAGCTTGCTAGAGAACATGTCTGCAGACAGAGTAGTCTTAGAAACTAGAGGATAGGGTGTTCTAAAGCAGATGAATTATGTCCTGTTGTCTTCTAGGTTTGGGTATTATATATTTGATTTCGGAGTCCTGTGCCTAGGTTTTTTGTTGTTTTGCCTATACATTGCAGATGGCATCCAGGCTGCCTCCTCTCCAGAAGATTAATTACGTTACAGGACTTAACGGGTGATATTTTGTTTAGCATCATCGGTCAAATCAGTCACATTGCTAGTAAAATTTACTGTCTCGCTATGAAACACAACCCCTGTGACCAGACCAAATTATTTAATGTATTGTTATTGTTGGGTACCATTTAGTCAAAATCGATTTATAAACAACTCTAATAGGGCTTTCAAATAATTGAGGTATTTTAAAGAGTGGCTCTACCAGTTCTGCCTCATGATTTGTTTCCATGGCTGAGAGGAAATTTCAATGATCATCTCCAGAAACCTAGTCCAACACTCCGTCCAATACAGCACTCTGGATTCCAGTTACCTATTAATTGATTTAGAGTACAGTGGTGCCCCGCATAGTGAGGTTAATCCGTTCCGGATTAACCTCCGCTGTGGGAAAACATCGTAAAACGGATCCAAAAAAACCATTGGAACTCATTAACAAAGTGTAATGTGTTCCAAATGGGCCCAAAACTCACCGTTCTCCGATGTTTTCCCTTGTTCCGGCAGCCATCTTGGGTGTACCGGCGGCCATTTTGAGCGTCCCAGTGGCCATTTTGGGTGTACCAGCGCCCTTTTTGTGTTCCGGCGGCCATCTTGGGTGTACCGGCGGCCATTTTTTGTGTTCTGGTGGCCATCTTGGTTCCGCTGAACAGCTGTTCCCCCATCGTAATGCGAGCATGCCCTCGCATTAGCGATGGGGAAATCCGCATCGCAATGCGGATTCATCGTTCAACGGTGCACTCGTTATACGAGGCACCACTGTATCTCTTTACTCCTGGATATGATAAAGTCCCCAGAGTTCCAAATTTGGATTCCAAAATCTCAACAATGCAAAACAGGACATGCATTATTATCTGGGTATGTTTTCAAATGGGAATTAAAATGGATCAGCCTCTGCCACTCTGATTAGCATTAGACAACATTGCACTAAGTGCATGTTAGCACTAAGCAACATGACAAACAGTATGTTTTACCTGGTGCCTGGCTTGGTGGTTCTTCCACAGAGTTCTGAATATCAGAAGAAGCAGAAGCATCTGGAGGAGGAGAGAACAGTCTCACCAAAGCAAACAAGAATTTCATTTTAATCTAAATCTATGGGGAACATGAAGGACAACTATAAATGGGGAAGAAAGCTTTGAGGGATGAAACCTACTGATTTTAGCTTAATATAAAATGAAAGACCTACAATATAATATTTAAAGATATCCTTTAAAATTCAGAATAACACAAGATGTTCAAACAATGAAGATCAACAGTCAGACTGGTTTTAAGGATCAGCTCTAGAATTTTCTAATTCTATGTCAGGATCCTACACCATAATATGTTCTAGAAAAATAACACAGTTCAGCTTTTATTTACAAACTTATATTGAGATGACTTGTACAGCACACCCTCCTGCTCTTGTGATCCCCTGCCTTTCCAAAAGTTACAACATAATCTTCTTGGGGCACAAGATTACTCTCAGGAAAGAGATGTGGATCAGCTGAACTCTTCGCAGTCAGAATCTCTGAACACCTATTCTCCAGGACAGCTAAATGGATATACCAGTAACATACTATAATTGAATCCACCATTGATTGATTGATTGATTGACTGATTGATTGATTCCCTGCCCATCTAGACCAAAGTCTACTCTGCAGTCCAAGACCATCTGGAAAGACACAGTTGTCCACTATAGTTCTTAAATTTATATTCTAATATTCTACTGAAATATCCTGCCTTTCTTCCATTGCGCTCAAGCAGGTTTTCTGGTATTTTGTCTCCCAGATCCTAATCCAATACTCCAACCACTACACTGCAGAATTTCTACCAAGTTTTGGGAGGTGTGGGGGCAGAATGTTCTAAGACCTAAAAAAAGCTACTGCCTTTATTCCTTCCTTGGGAGATTCTAAATGGTTACTCCCTGAAATTAGATGAGACAAAGTTTATTAGCATTTGATAGTGCTCTCCTTAGCTCTGGGTTAACAAGCACTTTAGCTTTTTTTAATCTCATTTTTGCAGAAAAGATCACTTCTCAATCCCACCCCTGTACCTGCAGTTAGTTGTACAATACATTTGAGCCAGTCCTCCTGGTAATGGATGTTTAGTTCCGGCATCTGTGTCTCCAAGAACTCCAGTGCGTCCTTGTAACCTAGGCCAATGCTGACTTTCTCCAGATCAACTCCATCCCTGGCCAGCAGGAATTCCTGCAGCTTTGTAATCCTCAAGCCCAATTTGTAGTTTTCAAAACACATCTTGCAGCTTCTTCTTCTCTGACCTTGCCCTGAAACACCTGCTACAAGTTCCTCTTTTCCTCCTGACAACATCACTGTGATCTTTGCTAAACCTTTTACTGGTAAAACCACATGCCTACAGACTCAACGGTCACATTCGAGAAACTTCGGGAACACATTTACTGTCAGGCCTAGCATAGAGTTCACTTTACTTACGGATACATTTATTGATTAGATTGATTATATTTTGTTCTCACACCATTCCCTACATAGTCAAGCCATAAGTCAAAAGAACGTTTGGCATCAATATGACAGAGAAGTGTAAAAACATCCAAATGTGGATAATTCTTCATATTGCTGATGAAAGGACCTTATAACCTGTACGTGTTCACTGATATTATCTCAGAAAACTTTACCAGGACTTTTTGCCATTGGCTTCTGTGTCACAACATCTCTGTTGCATTCAGAAAATCCAGGACCATGAGCAGGGATGGAGGTTCCTGCCAGAAGATAAAACAGAAATTAAAAGAGGGAGAGGACTTGTACAAAAAGGGGGAATAAACATTGCTGTGGTGAGTCAAGAAAGGATAATTAAAGAGGAGACAACAAAGGGGTTTTTCAGCAAAAGAAACAGGAAATAAGCTCTAGGACATTCCGCAGGATTGTCTGCGCAGGCACAGAGCCGCCAATTGCATGAATACATAGAGGATCACTCAAAGAACTACAGTTACAGGTGAGTAATCTGTTCTTCTCCCTTGAACAGCCTGGATCTGAGCAGCACAATTTTGGTTATACATGGGTTTCCCCCCCAATAAATAAACACTTCAATAAATAAATATTCAATATTGTGCTGCTATTTGTCTCCAGGAAGTGGCCTGAGAAAAGTGGCTCTTGGGCTAATTTAGGGCCCTGTTGTTGGCAGAGCGGTGGCCCCCAATTTGAGGGTGACAGACTAGCCAGCCCCCTCTCCTGTCATGGTGGCTCCACGTGGTGGCCGTAAAGGGAGCTGAGGCATGCTGGCACAGGTCAGGAGATGTGTGTGTGCCTGCGCGCGCGCGTGCGTGCATCTGTGTTTGTGAGAGAGGGAGTGACAGCAAGAGAGAGAGAAAAATCAACCATTTATGCTTTGTACATTTTGTTACCCAATAGTATTCTACTACCTACCTATCAGATGAAATATAAAGATTCAAAGATCACCCCTGCACTTCATGGCCAGTTGCGATTCTAACTCAGGTCTCCTAAGTCCTAGCCTAATACTCTTATCACTACATTGAAATGCCCTCTGGCTTTTTCTTTTCTTTTCTTTTTTAACATCATTTCTGCAAAGAGAGAGAGAGAGAGAGAGAGAGAGAGAGAGACAGACAGACAGACAGACAGACAGACAGACAGACAGACAGACAGACAGACAGACAGACAGATCAGTTCTCAAACTCAATCATACAAAGAAACCCAACTTGTGCTCTGTACCTGCAGGAAGCTTAACAACACTATTTGATCGGTCTTCCCGGTAATTGATGTTTAGTTCCGGCATCTGGGTCTCCAAGAACTCCAGCGTGTCCTTGTAACCTTGGCCAATGCTGAATTTCTCCAGATCAACGCCATCCCTGGCCAGCAGGAATTCCTGCAGCTTTGTAATCCTCAAGCCCGATGTGTAGTTAGTTAGGAGGTTGGAGAGGGCCGCCAAGACGTCAGCCAGACCTACTGTACAACGCAAATCACAGGTCAAGGTTTGCTTCAAAACTGGGAATGCCCCACCTACATTGGCTTGGGCTGATGAAGGCTGCTGTTCAAGACCATCTGGAAAGACACACTTGTCCACCCATGACACAAACTGGTTTTAGATCTATTACCACAATTGTTTGGCTCTTAACCCATTTACCTATCAGAGCCACACCTGAGGCTGACAGATTCTCTGCTAAAACCTCTTTGTTTATTTCCCCTCCTTTTGCTAGATCAGTTCTGAGTCATATGAGAGGACTTATCAAAACTGAAGACCCACTGCCCATGAATTGGCACAGAAGACTGTTCCAGACTTCATATAATGCTTAATTTCTTTTAAAACTCACCAGATGTGGCTGTAAGACTCTTTCACCTTATTTGTTGTATTTATATACTGCCCCATTAGTGCAAGCACCACTCTAAGCAGCTGATAGGTTAGAATTTAAAAGCCCACAAGATCCCAAATAACTGTATTATGTGCGCTCTGAAGAAGGAAGGAAAGAAAGGATTCACACACGATGACAGCAAGGGAAGCCCACTGGCCAATCTAGTTGGAAAATGTCCATTATCATTTTACCTGACAGTTGTTCTGCTTGCTCCCCATTTATCAAGCACTGAGATTCCTCTTGTGGGTTCTGCAGGCCATTCTCCTCTCCTTCCAGCCAGCGGTCAAGATTTAAGCCATTTACTAACTTCATGACTGGTGTCTGTGAACCACATTCCACAACCACAAGGTCTTTCATGTCAGCTATCAACTGCCGCAGTGAACTGTACCCATAAAGGTAGATGTGCGGGTGGAAGCCATGCAGCTGGTAAAAAGCCCCAGAAAAGTCTCCAAAGTTGACCCCCTGTGGATGGCCAAGCAGCAAATCCACGATACGCAGTTTCAGATCACCAGGATCTCTCTCCTCAAAGGCCATTGGCCCCTGAAACGAAGTGAATATGTCAGTAACATCATCACATATGGGCTAGCAAGACATCACCGCCCTGAATATGGTGCCTTGAATGTGGTGCCACTCTTCTATCTGGGACTCTGGAACAATTATAGATAATAAATGTACCTCTTATAATAACTATTATATGTGTAAAATCTATCCCCAAGAAAAATGATTGGATTCAGTATCTAAAAAGGATTAAATATACCCTAGAAGGAAGATTCTTGGTAAAAAGCACAAAAAATGCTTCGCTGATCAAAATGCTTCCTGAAAAATGAATAAAGAGGCAAGGAAAATGTATATTATATACCATCAAATCAGTTCTGACTCATGGCACCCCAGTAGGATTCCCAAGTTATATGAGATATTAAAGGGTCTGTTTTACCAGTATTTCTATCCAGTGATTTTACATGGCCCAGTGAGGATCTGAACACAGGTCTCCTAAATCCCAACACTCAATCTGCTAATGTGACAATGTCTTATAATTAAAACAGATGCTGTTTATAATATGGGTGACGAGCAACACTTTCATTTTCTAAAGAAAGATATGCTTGGATGTGTCACAGTTGCCTGGAAACACTTAATTCATAATAGGAACCATTTTCTGGAATCCCAGTCAGAGAGGGTGAGTCCGTGTGTGACGGGCAGGGGTGGGGTTTGCATCCAGATTTCAACCTGTCTCGTCAGAAATCATGAACACTAAATTCAATGGGAGTTATTTCCCAGGTAAATGTACAGTAATGCTACTTAAGTGATAATCTGGGGCTCTATCCTATGTACAGAAATTTAAGTCCTCCACATCTCTAGGTAGAGCTGAAAGGACTTTCATAAGAAATATTACAGAGATACTGCCAGTCAGTGTGAACAATGCTGGACAGTTTCAGTGTAAGGCATCAATATCTTAAAATTAGAATAGGTGGATGTCAAAATAATATTTTACTTAATCTGTTGTCATCCATATAATTTATGCATACCATGTTTATTTAACTCTATTTAGTTCTTTTTCTGTTTATCCAGTCTGTGACCAGTTCCATTAAATCAATTCTAAAACAGAAAGAAAAAAGGCCTGTATATATAAATGTTCAAGCTCAGCTGTTATTCAATGTCATGCTGTTATCAGTTTAACTGCTGGTCTGCAAACATGCTGAAATGAAAGAAACAGACATGTAATTAAAATTCCACTTGTACTACATGTGATTAATTCTTTTAAATTGTACTTCCTGACACTAAAAACAATGTCATATTGCATGTGAAGTGACATCTGCTTATTAGATGCCCCTCCAATAAAATCTATGTTGGGAAGACATCTGGACCCCTTTAAAAGTGAACATTTCAGCAATGTATGAAATCAAAGAATGGGAAACTCCTTCGTGGGCCATTACTAGGAAAATAGACATTCAGAAAGAGATCAACAGTTTTAGACTTTGGACACTGCTCACACAATGCAGGACAAGTTACTTCTTAAGAAAGAAATAGACTGCATAAAAGTAAACATATTATGGATTAAATAAAAAGATAGATTTTCTTCCTCTGCTTTAATTACACATTTGTTTCTTTCACTTCAGTATGTTTGCAGACCAGCAGTTAAAATTATAACAGTTAAAATGATAACAGCATGACCCTGAGTAACAGCTGTGCTGTTCCTTCTTCCTTCTGTATTAGAACTGACTTAGTGGAGCTGGTCACAGACTGAATAAACAGAAAAATAACTAAATACATTTATATATACTATGCATAAATTATATTTATGACTACAAATTACATGAAATAGTCTTTTAATTCTATGCTAATTTTGAGATATTGATGCCAAGATTATTAGACAAGATTGTTATTTATGTAAAAATTAAAAAAATAAAAATTATGGATGTGCTGTAGAATTATGGATACATGAATTTATTTATATGTTGTCCCTAGTAAGTTATAATGGTGTAACCGTAGTTCTTCTTATGTTACATAACCCTTGAAGAAGGTGGACAGGCCAAAATCTGTTGGGCATTTTACAGTGGTGCCTCGCTAGACAGTTACCCTGCATGACAGCTTTTTTGCTAGACATTGACTTTTTGCGATTGCTATAGCGATTCGCAAAACAGTGATTCCTATGGGGGAATTTCGCCGGACAATGTTTGGTCCCTGCTTCGCAAACCGATTTTCACTAGACAACGATTTTGACAGCTCCCTCCGCACTCACAAAACGGGTGTTTTCGGGACATAAGCTTTGCAAGACAGCTATTTAAGCAGCTCCGCGGTTTGCAAAGCAGCTTTCCTATGGCCGATCTTCGCTAGACAACGACAATTCTTCCCCATTGGAATGCATTAAACAGGCTTCAATGCATTCCAATGGGGAAATGTTTTTCGCTAGACAATGATTTCGCTAAACAGCGATTTCAGTGGAACAGATTATCATCATCTAGCGAGGCACCACTGTACATGGGAATAAAGAATACATATTCCCTCTATCCTGTGACTACAGTTTTTCCCTTGTTGTGACCTTACGTTTCAGTGGATGCACAAGTTCCTTTCATCATTTTCTACAATTGTCAAACCTAAAGTGTAGGCAATTGATTGGCTCCCAACTCTAAGGAAAGCTTGGGGGATGGATAAGGCGCTTCACATTGTTGTTATATGCTGTCAGGTTGCCTCATAAAACCCTATGGATAAGAGATCTCCAAAATGCTCTGCACTCAACAGCCCTTCTCTGCTCTTGCAAACTCCAACGTTTCTCAGCATTATTGTCTTTTCCAGTGAATGTTACCTTCTCATGATATGCCCAAAGCATGACAGCCTCAGTCTAATATAGTGCAAACTGAATGTCTCGTGTCTTATCTTTGAAATAACATGTGAGTTGTCTCCCAAAATAGAAGTGTTATTTATCTGATAAAGTAATAGGCAGGAGCCTACACAATTATCAGCTGATTAGTCTTTTGGGCATTTTCTCCAAATTATATGTATGTTATCTTCTAAATAAAACAGACGATTGAGCAGAATCAGTTTTATACCTAAAAGCAGATGAGGGTCACAATGCAATATACCTCTCTAATAACCCTGCAGACTCTAATTCAGAAGAATACTGTATGACCAAAATCCAGTAGTAAATTGGAAGAAGAGGTGGCCACTGAATCAATGGAAATTACATGGTGATGACGCACCAAAACCTAACTGATTCATTAGGTTTACTCTAGTTGTATCTTGTTACTGGATTTCAGCTACTGTTGCATTTATTGATTCTGTCTTTAACTCAATTGATAGAGCTAGATTTTGAGAATTGAGTGGAAGAACAGATCCTGCTCATTGTTGACTGAAATGCACTCTAACTTTATGGCTAGAGTGAGAGAGGGCTAACACAGGACCCTCTGCCTTATCCAACCCCACTAAGCCAGGGTTACCAACAGATTTGTTTGCTGGCTCCTTTTAATTATTTTTGATGGTGATGATATTATTCTGGCCACGGAATCACAAGAGATTGTGAATCTTGATCTACTCCAATCAAATGCCATTTCTGCACCTTGCTAACAGTCCCCTTAGAAGAATGTCAGCAGGACTACCCAACTGCTTTGGGAAGGAAAGATTACAGATTAATTACAATCAAACAAAAATTGTGGTCTTAGATAACACTGGAATCAAATACTGTACAGGGTAGATTATTAATGCTCAACAAACAGACCCACAGCTCCTTCTTTAAATATTCAAGTGTTACCTTTGGGAGAATTTGTCTTGGAAACTACACCTCAACAGAGTTCTCGTAACTACTCATGGTACAGTATGCAATTCTATTTCCCTTTCTGAACGTGATTAGTTAATATCCCCTGCCCTTAATATGTCCCAGGGCAAAATACACATTCAGACCCTGTATGAAGCTAAAATATGGCGATGATAATATTAAGATTTTTTTAAAATGATTGTTAAATAACAATCTTTTAAAGGACATATGGGGAGATTTTATAGAATTCACTTTAATAAAAGGGAAACGACATTTACCTTCACAAGAAACATGGTAATTTTGGAGGGAATAAGGACTTTGGAATAATAACTGATAAACTGAAAGTAGCCATATTGATCCAGGCGACGGGGTGTACTGTGTTTTAATTCAATAAATCAAAATTACTATGACTATTATGCTAAATTGTTAGTTTATTTGTTACGTAATGTTTTAGCTACGTTATATATTGTCTAGTAGTATGTTTTTGTTGTTCTTGTTGCTTATTTTGCTTGTAAAACAAACTAATATATTTTTTTAAGGGAAGGGCATACTGAAATCTGGTTTTGGAATGAAAGCTGCTTGCCCAGGTAGTTCAGAATAACTTTGTAATGAAAATCTTAGGCCTTCCCTGGGGCACCTCAACAGTACTGTAGGAAATAAAGCTAGGCACCATTTGGATTATTGAGTGGAGTTAGAAACACACTTTGTACGGTCTGGGAGGTATTCTGTTTGCTCTTCGCTGCTTGCTCTAGAAAGGAGGGGTGGCTGAGAAAACAGCCTCTTGGGCTAAAAATTGTATAGGTACCACCAGTCCTTATCATCTTTGTTTACTCAAGATAAGATCCACTCTTGGGTCAACCGTGCAGCATAAGGCTCTGCCCAATTTCTTGGGTGTACGCCCGAATGCAATATCACGACAACCTTCCTGGGAGTAAAGTCCCGCTGAGTTCAAACGGGGATTACTCCCGAGTAGACAGCAGATTGTGTTAGAAGTCGCAACGCACATGGTAGGATTTTCATTTGCGAGTGCACACGATCCCAGCCCGGGGCTGCACGTCCTTGAATAAGTTTTGGCAAGTCCACGGGATTGCCGCCAGGATCCCAGCGGTCCACAGGACGAGCTCGCTAGGGTTCAAGCCCTAGCCTAGATCACCCCGCCAAGGAAATTAAATAATCGCTTCCGTGTCCGGGCTGCAAAAGAGGGGACGGCGATCCGCTCACGCCTCCCTCCACAAGACACATTTCTTTCCCCCCTCTTGAGGATCTCCAGTAATGGGCTGCCATATGCTA